GCTCAGGACCTGCTGTGCTGAGATGTCACATGGTGACAACAAGACAGGTCCCTCACCATGTTTCCCATGACATCCCCTGCCATTTTTTTTCTGTGGCTGTAGGGGCTGACTCATGTGGATTCATCCGACCATCCCTCTGCCCTGCATGTCCCCTCAAAACCCAAGTTTGTTATGGGGTACACTGGTGGGTGCAAATGAAGCCATGCCCTACACAAAGTGTAGTGGCTGTGGTGATTATTGCTATGCATGCACTCCCTGGTGCTCCCCTGAAATTATCCAAGGTAGTTCAGCCCCAGATAGTGGCTCACGTCACACTTTCTCCCTGTGGGGCTCTAATATGTTGTTGCCCTGCATTCATGCACCTCTGAGGGCAGCATCTCCTGTTGCTGGCTTGCCAAAAACAACCCCCTGCTCCCCAATCCCCCCCACTGCCAGAATCCTTGCTCATCTGCAAGGGAGCGGGAGTTGTTGGGATGACCAAGGGCAATAGAAAACAATGACTTCACCTTCTTCCCGACCCTGGGATTCCCACCCCAAGCTCAGAAAGTTTTTAGAGGAAGTCAGAAACAAAAAGTCAGGGGCATTTCCCCGCTGTACCTACCATCAGGCAGGGGGTTGGACTACGTGACCTCTGGAGGTCCCTTCCAGCCCAGCTTCTCTATGACTCTACTACTTCACTCATTCAATACCAGGATCCAAATTGCCCCCCTACCTCAGAGCCTGTCTGTCCCTTCCAGCACCAAAGCAAGTCCAATACCACTCCACTCACTCCCTAATCCCTTTTGCTTGGTCTGGGGGTGCTGCTTCTGAAAGGTGATTCCTGGAGAAGATGAGAGGAAAGCATGGGTGGAAGCTCCAAGACATCCACCACTTAAGTGAAAATGCACACACCGTCCCCCTCGGCAGCCCAGCTCCTGCCCCCTGACACTGCAAAGCACAGTCACGGGGAAGGGAAACAGTCGCAGGGGCGAGGGGATTATGCAGTCTTTGCTAGAAGTCCTGGGGTGGGACTCTCTGGTGCACGCTTGGTCAGCTGGTGGGTCTGGCCAGGTTGGGTTGGGATCTTCCCCCAGGTCACCCTCGGCAAGCTTCTGGGCGTGCTGGTTGGATAGGGCTGATCCTGCCTCAGGCAGGGGGTTGGACTAGATGGGACCTCTGAAGGTCCCTTGCAGCCCCGCTTCTCTATGATCCTAGGATTGAACATGCCATGTAAGAGGCTTGGCTTGCTTGGCCAGGAGGGGTCATGGTTAACTCCATGCTGGGCTTAAGCAATGGAACTGGGTGTGAGTCACTAACCAGACCCCTGCAGCCATTGGGAGGGCCAGGCATGGAGTAATGCATGCTGGGAAGTTGAAGGACTGTAGGGTGCCTTCTCTTTCAAGGAAAATCATGCAGGTATGTGTTCTGCCATGCAAAACTCAGGCAAGTTAGATCTTTTGACGTGGAACTGGGCCAGGGGACTTGTTCCCATTTTCGCCCCTTAGAGAGTAAAGTGAGACCTTACATATCTAGTGGGATAAATGCCCACCCATCAGGAGAAAATGCAGGGGTCTGGGCATTCATGGGGTCCCGCATAAAGGAACGTGGCACATCCGTGAGAAAGGTCTCCCAATCAGGAAGCGCTCTCCTCCCCAGGAGTTTCTGATGGCACAACGTATGCCTGTACACTTCCTGCTTGTGTGGCTTCATACAACATCCAGGTATGCTTGGTCTTCTCCCCCTCATCCCTCTGGCTCCAGGGAGCCAGTTTATGAATAAATCCTCAATTTTGCATTTAAAAAAGTAGCCCAAAATCCACATTTTTCTATGATGTTTCATTTTAATCATGGAAAAATGTGGATTTGGGGTTACTTTTTCAATCCAAAAATTGGGGGGGCATTAATCGGAGAAAACCAGGATCCCTGTTTATGACTCAGACCCATCTAGTGCTTCACTTGAGCACAGAGCTAACCATGATGCCTCACAACCTAACCGCTGGTCAAGCCAAGCCCCTTTACCTTCCCCAGCCTATGCTGAAGGGCTGCACAGAGAGGGAGGTTTTTTCCCATGTCTCACCCAGAGCAGGAAGCAAACAACAGACTAAGTGACTAGGCAATGGTTATTCACCAAATCCCAGATGAGGAGACCCACAGTGCACCCACTGCACTTAGCAGGAGACAGGTTTAAAACAAAGATTAGCAAGTATTAGATTCAAGAGGTGGTGGAGTCTCCATCTTTGGAGGTTTTGAAGACCCAGCTAGACAAAGCCTTGGCTGGGATGATGTGGGAGGGGTTGGCCCTGCTTTGAGCAGGGGGTTGGACTAGATGTGACCTCCCGAGGTCCCTTCCAACCCTATTTTTCTATGATTGTGTGATTTTTATTGTATTATGTAGTGCACCATTAACTTCTGGAGCTCCTTATGGCAGAGTGAATGGCTGCTTGCAAAAGGGGACGAGACAGTTTCTAGGGGGATAGCTTTGAATCAGAACAGTTTGGGATGGATCCTTTGCCACCTCTCAACCAATGATGGTGGATGCTTGGGAGGGTACGAGAGGGGACAGAGCGCTCTAGATATACCCTGTTCATCTGCTCTTCCTCTAAAGCATCCACATTGGCCAAGAGAAAGGATCCTGGGGGAGACGGACCATTGATCTGACCCTCTCTGGCACCTCTTATGTTCTTCTGACACAGGCTCAATATCAGAACCAGCTCCTTCCCCCTCTGCCACCTACAGCCGGTCTGCTAACTGGACGCATGAGGAAACGAAGGACCTCCTGGCCATCTGGGGCAAGGAGGAGAACCAGCAGGCCCTCTGCAAGAGCCACCGCAACAAGGAGGTCTTCCAGCGGATCGCCGCGGAGATGACCGTACGGGGTCATCACCGGGACTGGGAGCAGTGCCGCACCAAAACGAAGTGGATGCAGCACTGCTATAAGAAGGTCCGGGACAGGAACCGGAGCTGTGGGGGCACCCGATATACCATGCCCTTTTACAAGGAGCTGGCCCGCATCCTCAAGGGTGTCCGTTCAGGGAAGACCTTTGACCCTTTTTGGTTGAGGGTGGGCACAGCTCTGGAAACTGCCCCTGAAGAGCATGCAGGGCAGGAGGGCTTGGGAGAGCCTGCTGCAGCCAGGACGTGGTGGGAGCTTGACGAGGAATCGATGTCCCAGGAACTCTTTACAAACCAGGTGCAAGAAACGGGGGAAGAGGAGATGGAGGAGAGCTCCAGTGACAGCACAGTCAAGCCACCGGATGAGGGTGATGATGCCGCACCATCACAGTCTCAGCTGACCTCAGAAATGGTTTCTTCCCCAACACTGCCTTCAACCCTGGATGATCCTAGTGAAATTGCTGATGTGGAGATGTCCTTTCCCATCCATGGGCCTAAGATGCTCCATTCTCCTTCCTCAAGGGACACTTTGCAGCCCGTGCTACCAAGCCAGCTTCCCGTGCCCACGCCTCCTGGTCTCACCAGCAAGAGGAACACGACCAGTTCCCAGACCACCGTGGACACTGGTAAGTCTCCATCTTCTACCGCAGGCACATGCCAGCCCCGGGGCAACTGAACAACACCCGTGAGGTTGCCCCAGGGTTGTGGCTGTAGCCGTTCCCTGAGGACTGCAGGGTTGAGTGATGATAAATGGGTCCACCACCATGTTTTTTTATGCCCCGCTACTATTTCTCCCATGCCTATAAGGGTCATCTCATGCACGTCCCACCCTGCCATTTCCCTGCCCCACACCTCCCCCAAAGATGGTTTCACAGCATAGTATGCTGGGTGGTGGCACACCATCAAGCCATGCCCTTGGGGACGAAGCGCAGTGGCCGTGGTGATACCGGCTGTGCATCTGCTCCCTGGTGCTCCTCTGGGTTTTCCAAGGCAGTTTACAGGCACCTGCCCCAGATAGTGGCGCACGTCACATCTCCTCCCTACGGACCTCGAATGCTAGCGGCCTCCTCGGTTAATGCCACTGAGGGCCACATTGTCTTGCAAAAGAAAACTTCTGCTCCCCTAACCCCACCCCACCGCCAGACTCCTCACCCATCTGCAGTGCAACAGGAGTTGTGGGAATGACTGCAGCCAAGGACATGAGAAACCAGGGCCATTACCTCCTGCCCTGACCCAGGGACTCCAGCCCAGAAAGTTTCTAGAGGAAGTCAGGAAAAAAAGTCAAGGGCATTAACCCGCAGCTGCTGTTGTGCCTGGTTTTCTACCCCATATCTTCTCCATTCCCCCAACATGGGCCAGGAGGCACAGATTATGACAGGAGGTGGTAGAGGCAGATTGAACGGCCAGCTTCAAAAAGGGGCAAATCTATTTCCTGAGTGATAGATCCATTAATAACTATTTAAACAGCACAGGCAGGGATGTCAGCTCTGGATTAAAGGTGGATGCTGGGGAGGATACGAGAGGGGATAGACTGTTTTACATATACCGTGTTCATCTGCCGTCAGAGAGGGGATACTGGGGAAGATGACCCAATCTGGCACTTCTTTTCTTCTTCTGACACAGGCACACAGTCAGAGCCTGCTTCTTCCCCCTCCACCACCTACAGCCGGTCTGCTAATTGGACACATGAGGAGACGAGGGACCTCCTGGCCATCTGGGGCAAGGAGGAGAACCAGCAAGCCCTCCGCAAGAGCCACCGCAACAAGGAGGTCTTCCAGCGGATCGCCGCAGAGATGACCGCGCAGGGCCACCACCGGGACTGGGAGCAGTGCCGCACCAAAACGAAGTGGATGCAGCACTGCTATAAGAAGGTCCGGGACAAGAACCGGAGCGGCGGGGGCCCCCGATATACCATGCCCTTTTACAGGGAGTTGGTCCGCATCCTCAGTGGTGACCGCGGCGTGCATTCCAGCAACACCTTTGCCACCAGGTGTGTGAAGATGCACAAAGGCCTGGAAGCTGCCCCCAAAGAGCAGGATGGCTTCGGGGACCCTGCTGCAGCCAGCACGTGGTGGGAGCAAGAGGAGGAATCGATGTCTCAGGAGCTGTTCTCCAGCCATTTCCTAGATTCGGAGGAGCAGGACAACTCTACCGATACCGTGGTAGAGACGCGAGATGTGGACGACGATGCTGCGCTGTCGAGGTCATCGATGGCTTCAGGAATGGTCCCTGTCCCTCCGCTGCTGTCAACCCCAGAGGATCACAGTGAAGCTGGTGACCCAGGGTCCCCCTTTTCCCCATCTGTGACGAGGTTGCTTTGGGCTCCTTCCCCTGGCACCGTGCAGCCCGTGTCACCGAGCCAGCTGTGCACACCCAGAGTCCCCTCACCACTGGGTCTAGGAGGCGTATCTGACCCCCTGGCCAGCACGGACACGGGTAAGGCTCCACGCTTATCTGCAGACACATTATCATGCCAGTGGGATAGAGGAATACCCATTGGCATGCCCATCTGAGCAGGGCCAATACCCCTGCTAGACGGGCACTGCTTGCTGCTGACACTGTAACCCCATCTCCTCGGGACACCAGGCCTGGCTTCGACTTGGGTGCTGTTGAGTGGGGTGGGTGGCGCTAGCAGGTGGCTGAAGTATCAGGTGGTGACAACAGGTTGAGTCCTTCCTCACCCCTTCCACCAGATCTTCCTCCCCCGCCATTTCTCCTGTACCTATAAGGTCCAACTCATGGGTGGCCATCCAACCTGCCCCTTCCCCCACACTGCCCCTAAATCTTAATCCAGAAAACTGATCCAGAATATGCTGTCCTGGTTGGGAGAGTGAATGAACCGTGTCCTCAAGGGAACAGAGTACAGCAGCCACGGTGATGATTTCTGTGCATTTACTCCCTGGTGTTCCCCTGGCATCCAAGGACACATATAGGCATCTAATGGGGCACTTTGTAATAAATAAGTGCCCTGCTAGGGTGGTATCCCTAACTAGGTTGCTAAGAAGAAATCTCTGCTCCTTACAACCTCATCCCAATGCCAGACCCATCTGCCAGGCAACAGGAGTTGTGGGAATGACTTTCACCAAGGGCAAGAGAAGGGGTGGGTTGGCTTCCTTAGTAGCATTGGGGTCGGCTGTAGCCAAAGCTAAAAATTTTGACTGGGCTGTGCCAGTGCTCCTACTGGGACAAAAAGCTGGATGTCCCTTGTTAGACAATCTGACCCCCTGGCCAGTGCAGACAGGCAGGGAGGGTCAGGCAGCCATGCTTTTCAGGTGGCCGGGGCGTGCTCACCACCACCACACGCTTCCCTGGCAGTGGTGCAAACTGGGGCCCGTGCAGCCCATCGCTGCCCACCCTCTTGGCAGCGCGTGTGCAGTTGGGCAAAAGCGTTATGGACAGACAGACACACAGACTCAGCCTTTTATTATATTAGCATTATATTTGGGAAGGGATTTTACCACTGGTCAGATTGGTACAGACTGTGCAGGTCTGCTTTCCTCCATAGCTGGGAACAGGGCCCTGCTCTTGGATCTCTTGGGTGTGTTTTAATAGCCCTTGCAGCAGTAGGACATTCACCACCATTGTTCTTCCTGGTTTCCCTGCAGTGCTCTAGGGTGCTCTGCTTGGTGGTTTGGCAATGGGCACCTGTGTAGTTTAGTAAGAAGTTAGAAAAGGACTTGCTCAAGATGTTTGAGAGAGGCATGATCCTGTCTCAGGCAGGGGAATGAACTATGTGACCTCCTACGGTCCCTTCCAGATACTTTTCTGTGATTCCAGGACCCAATCCAAGCACGGAGGTAACTACGCCCAGCGCAGCCCAAGGGCCAGCCAGGCCAAGCCCTCGGTGCTGAAGGGCTGTCTCCCTTTGCCACTTGCCTCGTTTGCCTTCTGTTGCAAGACCTGCACAGCTAGGAAATCCTGCACTTACCTGATGCCGCATCAGGTGGATGACTGGATCTTAATATTTGTAAGGGAAGTCTGCTCTGCATCTCACCCACAGCAAGAACCAAACCGAACACTTGACAGCCTAAGTGAGCAGGGATCTGTTGTTCAGACTATGAGAACTAGGGGGCACCCACTGAAATGAGCAGGAAACCAGTATAAATTGAAAGGGAGGAAGTCATTATTCATGCAGCGTGTAGTCGACCTTTGGAATCAATTACGATAGCAGGTGCCAGAGGCAGATTGAACGACCGGTTTCAAAAAGGGACGAGACAGTTTCCTCGCTGATATATCCATTAATAGCTTTTTAAACTGAACAGTCAAGGGATGTATCCTCTGCCAGCTCCACGTTAATGATTGTCGGTGTCAGGGAGCATAGGCGATGTGTTGGAGGGGCATGTGCCCCCCCCCCCAGATTTCTGTGCCAACAGCGGGGCATGGGGCTGCAGCCTGGCCAGAGCCAGGGCCTGGCAGCAGTAGCACTGTGGTTTCTGCATCAACAGCGGGATATGAGGCTGCAGCCTGGCTCGACCAATGTGCCGCCACCGCTGCTGCCGGGCAGAGTTGTGCCCCCCGCACTTTCAGCACTTACACCTCGCCTATGCCAGGGAGGGTATAAGAGGGGATAGATTGCTCTATACGCTGTTGATCTGCTCTCCCTCCAAAACATCCACTGCTGCCACTGTTGGAGAGAGGATACTGGGGGAGATGGACTGTTGATCTGACCCAGTCTGGCACTTTTTTCTCATGACACAGGTACAATGTCAGAACCAGCTCCGTCCCCCTCCACCACCTACAGCCGGTCTGCTAACTGGACGCACGAGGAGACGAAGGACCTCCTGGCCATCTGGGGCCGGGAGGAGAACCAGCAAGCCCTGCGCAAGAGCCACCGCAACAAGGAGGTCTTCCAGCAGATCGCCGCGGAGATGACTGCACGGGGCCACCACCGGGACTGGGAGCAGTGCCGCACCAAAACGAAGTGGATGCAGCACTGCTATAAGAAGGACTGCAGTGGTGGGGCCACCGGGCACACCATGCCCTTTCACAGGGAGCTGGCCGACATCCTCAGTGAGGACCGCGGCATGCATTCCAGCAACACCTTTGCCACCAGGTGTCGGAAGACAGGCCCAGTGCTGGAAGCTGCCCCTGAAGAGCAGGATGGCCTAGGAGACCCCACTGCAGCCACTGCTTGGTGGGAGCTAGAGGAGGAATCGATATCCCAGGATCTGCTCCTGAACCAGGTCCAAGACGCAGAAGAGCAGAGCCCTGGGGAGAACTCTAATGACACCCTAGTTGAGCCACAAGACCTAGATGATGACACTACACCATCCAAATCACAGATTTCTCCAAAAATGGTCCCTTTCCCCTCACGGCCCTCAACCCCGGAAGATCACAGCCTCGTTCCCAACCTGGAGACCTCCTTCCCCACATATGTACCAAAAATGCTGCTTTCTCCTTCCTTGATGGGCACCTCTCAGCCCATGCCACCAGGCCAGCTCCCCCTACCAATACTTCCTGGTCCTCGTGGTGAGAGGACTGCACCCAGCTCTCAGGCCACCACAGACGTTGGTAAGCCTCCACATGCTAATGCAGGCTCATGCCAGCACCACAGCAATGAAACAAAACGCGCAAATTGTCCTCTGGCACTTCTAGATCGGCACTGCATGGTCATATAATACTGATGCCCACCCCAGCAGGTTTTGACTCGGGGGTAGAGGGGTGATGCTGTCAGGTGGATCAGGGCCTGCTGTGCTCACGGGTTGGGTGGTGACCATACAGTGGGTTCCCCAGCACATTGATGGACCTGTCACCCAGGAATAGGTAGGGGGCAACTCAATGTGTTCATCCAGCAGTGCCCTCACCCCACATCTCTGCTCTAAAGTTGGTTAAATAATATGGTGTGCTGCCTGGGGGCAGGATTAAGCCATGCTTTTGAGGACAAAGCCCAGGGGTCATGGTGATAATTGCTGTGCATTCACTCCCTGATGCTCCCCTAGCATTTTCCAGTCAAATTACAGGCACCAGCCCCAGGTAACGGAGCACTTCACACCTCCTCACTACAGGGCTCCCGAAGTTCATGCCTCCCTTATCGCATCTCTGAGGACGGCATCTCCTGTTACTGGCTTGCCAAGAACAAACCTCCCCCCATGGACCAGACTCCTCACCCATTTTTCAAGGCAACAGGAGTTGTAGGAATGATTGCAGCCAAGGGCATGAGAAACCAGGGCCATTACCTCCTACCCAGCCCCAAGCCTAGAAAGTTTCAGGAGGAAGTTGGGGGAAAAATAAGTCAGGGCATTTCCCCCCGCCCCCACAGCTGCTTTTGTGTCCTGTTTTCTCCCCCAAATTATCCAAATCCCCATTCCCCAACAGGAACCAGGATGTTTCCCCGGTCCCAGGAGCCTTTCCCTTCGCTTCAGGGGGTAAGGGCAGGCATTATTCTTCTAGGGGGAGAAATGCCACTTTATCCGGCAATTCTGTCACTTTGAACCAGCAAGAGATCACTTGGGTTAGAGTTTTCCTTGGCAAAATGAATAGCTATAAATTTCCTGCTTGTATGCAGTCCTCCATTATCTCAGCCTGCTCTGCTGGCTGTACCCAATTTCCTGGGTGATGGATCCATGGATAGCTGTTAAATGGATGTCTCCTCTGGATTTTCTCAACCAACAATGATGGATGCTGGGGAGGGTATAATAGCTATACCCTATTCATCTGCTCTCCCTCTAAAGCATTCATGCTGCCACTGTCAGAGAGAGGATCCTGGGGGAGAGGGACCATTGATCTGACCCGCTCTGGCATTTCTTATGTTTTTATAACACAGGCACAGTGTTGGAACCAGCTCCGTCCCCCTCCACCATTTACAGCCGATCTGCTAATTGGACGCAGGTGGAGACGAGGGACCTCCTGGCCATCTGGGGCAGGGAGGAGAACCAGCAAGCCCTGCGCAAGAGCCACCGCAACAAGGAGGTCTTCCAGCAGATTGCCCTGGAAATGACCGCACGGGGCCACCACCGGGACTGGGAGCAGTGCCGCACCAAAACGAAGTGGATGCAGCACTGCTATAAGAAGGTCCGGGACAGGAACCGGAGCGGCGGGGGCTCCCGATATACCATGCCCTTTTACAGGGAGTTGGCCCGCATCCTCAGTGACAGCCGTGCTGTGCATACCAGCAATAACTTGGATGCCCGATGGGCGAGAACAGATGCAGAACAGCAGACTATGCCAAAGAGCAGGAGGAGCCGGAGAGCCTCAGGGACCCCACTGCTGCCGGGGCATTGCAGGAGCCGGAGGAGGAACCGATGTTCAAAACCTGTTCGTGAATCGGGTCCCAGGCACTTCAGACCCCCTCACTGATGGGTTAGTTGTGCACCTTTTTTGGGCATCCCAACCTAGTTTCTGTGTGGCGTTCTTCAATCCCAGCACTTGATCGAGGTGGCCAGGTAGTGATAGCAGATGATCTAGTTGGGGATGGTCCTGCTTTGAGCAGTGGGTTGTACTAGATGACCTGAGGTCCCTTCCAACCCTCATTTTCTATGAGTTTATATTGCTGTTCCCACTCCGGGTGGAAAGAGGATGTAGGATGGGAAGATCATCCAGTGTTCACCCACCAATGCCAAGCAAGTGTGGTGGTGGAAGGTCACGGCATGGGTGTGCCCAAGGTTGGCGTGGAGATCCTACGACTAGGCCCCCACCAGGCAAGAGCCACATTCATCAGCTCCAGGTCTTCAGGAATGAGGTGGCTGCACATGCAAGTTGAGGTAGCTTTTAAGCATTTGCCTCCCATTCAAAGGGATGCCTAGCTTCTCCCCCGACCCCTGTGAGCTGGTGATTCCCTTGCAGAATCTCTGCAAGGAAGGGTGATTCCCTTCCTTGCAGAAGCAAGATGACTTGCTTCTGCAAGTCATCTTGCAGAAGCTAAAAGGCTGTTCTTGGATGCCCCTTGTCCATGTAGACAGCTCCTGCTGGCGATGCAGTGAGACTCCCTCAAGGAGAAGGAACAAGCTGGCAGTCCCTGTGCTTACCTGGGAGGAGATGGGCCATGGAGAGGTTCACGTCCATGCCCCGTTCTGTCAGGAGGCAGCCCTCCCTTGAAGGTAGCAGTGTCATGGGGAGTCTGAGGATGTTCCTAGGGGAGCTGACCATGCAAAGAGCTGGGGGGGCACAACCTGGCTTGGTTCCTGGGCCACGGCAGGATCAGAGGGAGGTCCCAGACTTCCTCTTCCAAGCTTCTGATGGTGCAAAGAGAGTGTCAGGATGAAACTTGTGGGCTTATTCCCCATCTTATCAGGAAAGGTGGTTGCATTTCACAAAGGCTGCCTGTTTGCTTCCTTCTGCTTCTAGCCTACACCCCTGTAGCTGGGAGGAGAGCCAGCTCTCGGCGTGACCACCGTCCACGGCCAGGCCGGCAGGCTGCGGCACAGATGGCATGCGAGAGGTGCTGAGGACAAGATGCCAAAGTAAAGAGGAGATGATGGAGGTCTCTGGTACTCTTCCATAAGCGCCACACACCTGGCACCCATTAGCAGAGGCCTCTGTCGGGAGCTGTGGTGAGGGGACATGGCCAATGCAAGGAAGGTGGATGCTGCCTCAAGTTATCAACCCACTTCGGGGAGCCCGAGGCTGAAGATGCACTTATAACAGGGTGCCATGTAGCTCCTCGGGGGACAAGCTGAAAGCCCAGAGGATTGTTGGTACCTTCCTCTAGGGCCACAGGATCTAACCCCACCATTTTCTTGAGACCTCCACCCCGCTTTCCCAGGAGGCATGCACCTGGATCCAACCTCAGGCCAGCAACAGAGGGGTGGCAGGGTGGCTACCCAGCCTCCTGCAGGAAGGAGTAAGGGCAGCCCATCAGTGCCGCTGGAGGCAGGAGGGGGCAGGATGGAGATCCCAATGCCATGGCTGAGGGGCATAGAGCGGTGGCCAGCACGGGCGAGGGTTTTCTGGAGCCAGGCAACTGGGGACAAAAGGAAAAGATGTGGTCCAGGGTGCATGTGGCCATGATCTCCCCTGAGGGCAGAGAACAACAGGGATATTAAGACGGCAGTGCTTGGGGAGCATGGGGCTGCCATCATGTCAAACCTTCAGGGCCTGAGTGAGCCCAGAGCTCCATCTCTTCCCCTCTAACACACCTGGCCCCTACAAGAGAGCAAGAGACCCCCCCGCACCCAACGTGCAAGGCTTCTGCCCCAGTCCTAGGCAAAAGCAGCCCCTCCATCCTCCTCCTGGAAGATCCCATGGACAGGGCAGTTGTGCTGGGAGGTTCATGACATGGCGTGGATCTGGCCACCCATACAGCTGTCTGAGGCAAGCTGTGATACCCCTGCCCTCCATCCATGGTGCAGCTTCCAGGGATGCATGGAGGGCTCAGGGATCAGGACATGGGATATCTCCCCTCTTCTCCATCCACAGTCGCTGTTGAAGCTATTGCCTGGTTGGCACGTTCATCGGTTCCCTGCTATTCAGGTGCAACCCCAGCCCTGTGGCCAGAAGCCTTTTCAAAAACCAAACAGCACAAACAGGCAAGATGCCCTGCTGGGAAAATGCTTACGGTTTTCATGGTTCAATAAAAGAAACTAGATTTTTGTTAAAGAAAAACATGGAAATTGAGTCCTGAGATGTCCCTGTCCTCGCCTCTTGGTGCGGCTTGGTGCTCTCCCAGACCCATGAGCAGATCTAGGATGCAAAGGGGGTTGTAGACAGCGAGGTGCCTCATCACATATGGAACAACATCTGGTTTTCTTCAGTTTAAACTTGAAACTTTACTAAAATGCTAGGGGTTTAGGGATGTATGATTCAGTTTAAGATGGAAGCAAAACAAGTAGGACTTCCTGGAGCTGGCTTGGTTCAGTATCTTCATCAACAGCGTGGAAAATAGCATGGAGCACACCCTCAGCAAGTTTGCAGATGACACCAAGCTGGGGGGAGCAGTAGATATGCCGGAGGGTAGGGCTAGGATGCAGAGAGTCCTAGATAAATTGGAGGATTGAACCAAAAGAAATCCCATGAAGTTCATTAAGGACAAGTGCAAAGTCCCATACGCTGGTACAGGCTGGGGATTGGCTGGCTAAGCAGCAGCTCTGCAGAAAAGGACCTGGGGTTACAGTGGGCAAGAAGCTGAATTGAAGCCAGCAGTGTGCCCTTGTTGCAAAGAAAGCTAACGGCATCCTGGGCTGCATTGGTACGAGCATTGCCAGCAGATCAAAGGAATTGATTCTTCCCCTTCATTTGGCACTGGGGAGGCCACATCTGGAGCTCTGTGTCCAGTTGTGGGCCCCTCACTAGAAGGGCAGTAAAGCTCTGGCACAGGTTACCAAAAGGGGTGGTGGACTCTCCATCTTTGGAGATTTTGTCTCCTCCTCAGTTTAAAAAGGGCCCACCAATGGCTTAACTGCAATTTGTCCCCAGCTCCGGAGGGAGACGCGCAGGCGGAAGCCTGTTGTGCCCCCGTTGAGCCCAGGGACCCCCAGGACCCCCCCAGTGGGACTCCGACCTGGACCTCCAGCACAGCCAGAGGTAGGTGGGGCCCACGGCAGGGAGGGAGGGACTCCGACCCAGTTAGCTGCGGGGCAGCTGAGTCAGAGCTGAGGAGGGACATGTGCCCCCCCATCCCCTCGGCTCCTACTTGGCCCAGCCCCCAGGAAGCTGCACGACCAGTCCCGCCAGCATGTGAGACAGGCAGGGTGGGGCACTCACCTGTCCCTTCTTCCACAGGGCAGGGACCCCCCCAGCCCCTAGAGCAGCGCTGCGCCATCGGCGAGCCCTTCTGCGCATGCATGCAGTTTAAAAAGGGTCTGCCGATGGCTTAGCCGCAGTTTGTCCCCGGCTCCGGAGGGAGACGCGCAGGCAGAAGGCTGTTGCGCCCCCATTGAGCCCAGGGACCCCCAGGTGGGCAAGACCTTGCACTTGGAGCTTGAGGGGATTGTGCATAAGATTGTGCCACGGTTACTTACAACAGCAGGGGAGTAGACACAATGAAGAAGGCCCCTGACAGCTGGACTGTTCCTATACAGTTCACTTGTGAAACTTGTTGGGGCAGAGAATAGCCAGGATCAAAATGGAGGGAGATATTCTCGTGAGGACGGATCTATGGGGAGCTATTCGGTGGGCACGTCTACACGGGCAGTTACACTGGCTTAGTTACTGCGCAGTAAGTGGGAATAGGCTGGCATCCACATGTGCAGGTGTTAAAACACATTAGCACTGTGTGTAGACTGACTTGGGATTAAAGTTAGTCCCAAGTCAGCCCACGCACAGTGTTACTGCACAGTAAGCCATCTACACATGCATTGCTGCACAGTAACTGATTGGGTGTACATTTGATGCAGGTATCAAATTTATGCCCAAATCGGCATAAGTTGCCATATTTACTGAGCAGTATGGGTGTGCATGTGTAGACGCACACCCATACTGTGCAGTAATTTTGGCTACTGCACAGTAAATGCACACGTGTAGACGTGCCCAGTACAAGTCAGGTATGTCTCCTCTGACATCCCCAAACCAATGCTGGCTGGTGCTGGAAAGGGTATAACGGGATGGATCACCTTAGCCATGCCCCATTCATACCGCCTCCCTATAAAGCAGCTACTGCTTGCCTCTGTCAGGGACTATGTATTGCAGTAGATGGGTCTGACCAAATGTGGCATTTGCATTCTTATGATGGTGTGTGATGGGCTGTGAGCAAGCCCAGGAGGGCTGCAGCTGGGGCAGGCAGCAGGGTTGAAGGGAAGGCTTGGGGAAAAGGCACCTCAGAGGAATTGGAGTTGATTTTGCTTTGCAAACAAGTTGAGCCAGACTGCTGGCTGGGAGGAGTCTTGCCTCAAGGCACAGATGGGGAGTTAGGAGGCTGTGGAAGATGCTTCATGCAAGGGTTGAGTATTTTATTATTTTGCGGTGACCCAATCTGGGCCAATAGCTCTGTGCAACTGCTTAGGAGGCAGCACAGCCTGGGGGACCGCTAGAGAGGTCCCAGGGATGCTAGATGGGCCAGGAGGCAAAGGCCGATCTCCTGGGGCTGGCCAGCTGCACCAGGGTATCGGGGTCTACTATGGGCAGGGGATGGGAAGGAGAGGAGGAGTGAGCTGGGCAAGGGCGAAGGGACATGCAAAGGAAAAGAGAAGAAAGCCGGTGCTGAGGAAGCACCCCAGGTTTCTGCCCCACGATGCAAGCAGGGGCAGGATGCAGAAGGATGCGGTGGTGAGTGTGGGGGAAGGATCAATCCTTGGGAGATCCCGGGTGGTGGGAGGCAGAGCTGGGTGATCAGGATGCTGCGCAGAGCTACGACAGGCTCACAGGCGAGACGACGAGGGAGCCACAGTCGGGGTGTGGAGATCTGTATTGTTCACAGGAAACGTAGAAAACACCCGTGATTTTTTAAAAAATTAAATAAACGTCTTTCCGGTACATAGCGTTGTTCTGGTGGCTGCTGTCTCTGCCTTAGTGATTCCCAACAGCCTCAGATATCGTCCTCCGAGAGGGTGAGAAACAAAACGGAGTCCCCTGAGCCACCTCCAGAGTCTCCTGGAAATAACAGGCATGTTCATCGGCCATTTCATGAAGCCATGCCGTGTTCCTCACCTTGCACACTGCCTTCAGTGGGGGTATCTTCGCAGCTACTGCCACGCCAGGCAGATAGGGCGACGAGAAGGGCAGCAAACAACTGGAGGTCAACACTGGGCATGGGCAGAGAATGAGATGCCCCGATAGGCACAGGCCCCCCACCCTGGCTGCACAGTGTCAGCACTGCAAGCTCTCTCCTCTTTAGGGCCTCAGCACTCAAACGTCAGCACGTGTGCCTCTGGGTAAGTTTTTCTACCAGGAGAACAAACCTGGGAGAACTCTTCCATATTATCTGAATGTGTGTACACAGCATCAGCACCTTGAGACCCATCAGTGAGCCACGGTCGAGATCATCCTTGAATCGAGGAACAACTGTGGACTGCAGGAACACCTGAACCCTTCCTATGCTGACAGAAGTGTTACTGTTGTCCCTGTGTGTGGACGCGCTGATGCCGGGCCAGGTAGGAGGAGCAGGTGAAACCCTTCCCGCATCCCGGGCACTGGTATCGCTTCTCCCCGGAGTGGATGGGCTGGTGCTGGGGGAGCTGGGAGGGGTGGCTGAAGCCATGTTCTCCCTTTGTGTTGGTGCAGCCTCTTGCACACTTGATCCTGCTCAGGTCTTCGGGCGTCCTTCCCAACTAATTGCCCTGGGAGCTCCTAGTTGGCCGACATTTCCACCAAAGGCTGCTCCTCCTCTCTGTTTAGCATCCAGACTCCTGCCGAGTGGAGAAAGGAGCCCGGCAATGAGTTCCCACCTTGCAAACACTGCTGTTCCCTAGTGCTGGGATGGGACTCATGGCAAAGTGGGGCCTTGATACTTGTTTCCTTCAGGGCAAAATCTTGTTCACCCACCCACCATCAGGACCCCAAGTGCTGGGTACAATGGGTAGGTCGGTGTGCCACTCTCGCGTTTCCCTGCTTGGTGTATTTCAAAACCGGTTTCTTCATGTTTCAGGCCCCTCTGGGGGAGACCTGTGAGACTTTTGTGTTGGGATAGGATATAAAGAGCTCTTTGTCATGGGGAGTATTGGCTGGAAGGAAGAAATGTGTCTCTCTAGGGACCACTTCACATCACAGCACTGCTGGGTCCAGGGGAAGATGGTGTGAGCAGCAGGACAGAAACCTAGGGCCAAAATTAATTGGGGACAACACCTGCCCCAGCCTGTTCTTGGGCACTGAGGACTCCCACCAGGCACAAGAGCAGGGATGGGGCAGCAAAGTGATGACTGAGGCCAGCAGCGTGACAAAGCCCAACCAGGATAAAGGATCTTTCATCTGCCTGCTGCTCCCACAGCAGGATGGGAGCTTTGTTGGACCATAGCTGTGCAATGGGCACAAGGGGCACAGCCTCTGAGTCAGACCTTCCCGGACCTAACATGCCAGAGGCTGCAAGGGAGAGAGAAGCAGGGGCAAGCACCCTGCTCAGACCTCTACCTCTTCAGCACGGTACCTGAGCCCTGCAATGGCCAGAGTTTGTCTTTGGGGACATGACGTGGCTCATTCAGGAGCCCTGGGGCTTCACCCCATCCTGCCTCCTCCTGGGGCAGGTGCTCAGGATACGGCTGCAGCTGCTCCAGCCAGGAGTTGAGAGGGTCCCATAATGCCCCAGCACTTGCCATCTTGTCCGAGGCCACGTCTTGGACCTTCACGCGCACTGTGACCTGGGGACAAGACAACCACAGTCTCTGGGAGCTAGGAGAGATGGGAGTGGGAGGGAACATCCCCAAACACGTGGAGATGGGGAGGCAGCATTGATGTCGGGGAGAAACGCTGTCACCTGGAGTGTCTCATCTTCCACTGGCCCCAGCTCAAACCCCCCCGGCCAGGGCCACCGTCTCGGCGCAGGTCTGCACGCCGCGCCCCCACTCTCAGCTCCGCATCTCCCGGGACAGGACGGCCAGGAACTGCTCCAGCACCACCAGCTCCAGCATCTGCTGCGGTGCTGCAGCTCCAGCCAGCGCTGGCACAGCTGTGAGCCTCCCGCGGCCCCTCGGCCACCTGGTAGAGGAAGCCCCGGCGCCAAGTCTCCGGGATGGGGTGCTCATTGCCTGGAGCTGGTGCCAGTGCTGGAAAGGGGGGGCTTGGAGCTGGTGCTGACCCCGGCTTGGCAGCCATGGTCTCTGCCAGTGGAGATCTTGCCGCAGCTCTTGCTGTCCAGCTGCTCGCCTGTGGGGCCTCTGCAGGAAAGAGACCGCATGGATTTGATCATGCGATGGGAGAGCCAGGACCCCTGGCACTGCTGTGCCCCTGTCCCTGCTACACCTGGCACCAGCAGACCCCCCTTGACTCTCTGCCCACCCTCCCCAAGCCCCTCACTCCTGGCTCACGCTGCCGATGCCCCCCACTCTGGCCCCGTGATGCACTTCCCTCCCAACCCGCAGCTCCCCTGCCCTCCCCCATCCCTGCCCAACCCACAGCCCCTCACTCTCTGCAGCCAGCCGCTCTCCGCTCTGTATTGGCACTCCCCTTCCCTGCAGTCACTTCCCCTACCACCCCTCCTTGCTCTGGGGGAAGGAGCCCCATTGCACACACCTGAGCCCCATTGCATGCACCTGCCAGGCCCAGCTCCAAGTGCAGCAGCTGCCCAGACCAGGGGCTGCACTGGGGTCCTGCTCCTCCTGCTGCTGGTGCCCGAACTGGAGCTGGGAGGTGGGAGAGGCCTCATGCATGCAGCAGCAACCTCATATCCTGCTGCAGCTCCACCCTCGCTTCCTCCCCGCTGTCCCTACACTGGGTCTAGGTCTAGAAAGAACAGAAGGAGGCTCCTAGCTCCTTCCTGGGCTCAGCCGGCAGCACCTGGGCCTGTCGGCAACTGCGCACCAAACAGACCGGACTGCATCTCCCGGGCCAAAAGCGTCGCCTGGCCAGGTGGGGAGTGAAGCTAGCAGGGGAGAAGGGCAGGGAGAGGTGGCTCCAAGGCAGGAAGAGGAACAGCCACAAAAGAGCAGACCAGCTGGCATAGTATAGAGTTGCGGGGTTTTGGACCTTTTTTTGTATTTCAGGTCAAATTAGCCAAATCTGTTCTAAATCCTCTTGATGAAGCGCAACCGTATGTGGCATTGCAGCCAGCAAGTATCCTCCCCACCTAGATTTTCCAGCCTGGGACTTCAGATACTCCCAAATCCAGGGTTTGAATTACAGGGGAGCCCCCCCTCCCCGTAGTTCATTGCACAGGGGTGCACCCTCCGCTACACAGTGCCATTCACATCCATCTCTTGGGTACCAGACCAGTGCAGCGACTCCACTTGATCTCAGCCCACAAGAGGATGGGGTAGGACAGACTCTGCTTTCCCCGCAGCCAGCACCGGGGAGCTCATGCAGCGAGCACCCCAACCCAGGCACTGCCAGGGCAGCCTTGGGGCAGGCATGTGCAGGTGGGGGCGCAGCTGCCAGAGGGCTGCAGGGAAAGGGACTTTTTAGAAATAATGTGATTATTTGATTTTTATTTTTTAATTCAGGGATTTTTTTAAGCTCCCAGCTCTAAAGGATCCAGCCATAGGAGGGAGGGCTACTGGGGGCGGGAGCAGGAAGAGGAGGGACGGGAAGGGCCGCGCAGCCTCGCTCCTCCTGCCGCCCGCGGGGACTAGCCGTGCAGGTCGGGCTGAACAGCCAGCCATGGGGGGCTGCGGGTTGGGAGTGAGGGGCCCCAGCAGCACGTGGGGCTGGGGGGGCTCAGGGCCTGGCCCAGACCCCGTGTTGGGGCAGGACCCCCGTGGCCCCTTGGTGCGGGCCAAGCCAGGGGCCCATCACACGATAACACCCTTCTTGCAGGCAGCCAGGAGCCCTGACACCCAGCGAGCACGAGCCCAGAGGAGATGGCTGCAGAGCTGGAGCCGGTGCCAGGCCCGGGCTTCCCCTTCCCGGTGCCGATGGAGGAGCAGGACCCAGCAGGGAAAGTGCCTCCCGTCGTGCAAGCCGGGACCGGTGGGTCATCCCCGAGGCGGGCAGCGCCGCAGCAGGTGAAGCAGGAGCCGCCGGAGGAGCCGGTCCAACGCTGGGAGATCCAGTGGCAGGAGGTGATGCAGGCCTCCGACGCCAAGCTGCCCTCGGCCACCCCCAGCCCGGAGATGTGGCGCCGGCGCTTCCGCGGCTTCCACTACCAGGAGGGCGAGGGGCCGCGGGAGGTGTGCAGCCGCCTGCGGGAGCTGTGCCAGCGCTGGCTGGAGCCCCAGCGCCGCAGCAAGGAGCAGATGCTGGAGCTAGTGGTGCTGGAGCAGTTCCTGGCCATCCTGCCCCAGGAGATGCAGAGCCAGGAGTGGGGGCGCGGCGTGGAGACCTGTGCCGAGGCCGTGACCCTGGCCGAGGGGTTTCAGTTGCAGCAGCCGGAGGATGAGACCTTCCACGTGAGAGCGTTTAACCTTCGCCGTCTGTTTTGGCAGGGGATTTTGGACTGCTGGGACCAAAACCAAAGGGTCCTGCTAGAGGGTCTTGCACCTCCACTCAGGGTCAGACTGCCAAATTTGGGGTCAGGAAGGGATTTCCCCCCCAGTCCAGTTGGTGTGGATTGGATGGGGGTTTGCCTTCCGCTGCAGCAGCTGGGATCTCTGGAGCACTTATTAACCTTTGCAGCAGCAGGACCTTGGCTGCCATGGTCCTCCCGCTTTCCCTGTGGGAGGTTTGGGTGCGATGTCTGTACCGTGTCATGTCTTATATGATGGGCATGTCTGGGATAGTTTGGACAGGGGTGATGCTGCTTCAGGCAGGGGTTGGACTCGACGTGACCTCCACAGGTGCACGCTTTAATGACCGCATCGGAGAACTGTGATTCTGCGATGCTGTTATGAAAGGGTGGAGCTCATTGCCACCACATCTGTTAAGAGCTGAGAGTAGCCAGGTGCAACGAGGGATGCATTCGTGGAGAAGCTATTGAGCATGGGTGTGAGAGCCACGGCCTTCAAATCAGACCTTTTTAGCCCCTAATACCGAAGGCTGTAAGTTAGAGAGAAACAAGGGGGAAAACCCTGGTCGGACCCAGTTCTCTCTCCCTGTTAGCATCTGCTCTGTGCCCCAGTGGGATGTACGAGGCTGGGCAAGACTGACTTAGGGTCTGAGCCAGTCAGTGGCAGATCTGGGGTCTTGCCACCCCGCTCTCCAGGCATCTGAGGATGTTCACTCCCACCCCCTCTCTCCCAGGTCCTGCCTCCGCTGTGACATATGTTCCTTGTCCCCAGGTCACGGTTCGTGTGAAGGTTGAGGAGGTGGCCTCGGACATCATGACACCCACGGGTGCATTGCAAGAACCTCTTGACTCCTGGGTGGTGCAGCCGCAGCCCCACCCTGCTCGCGTGTCCCAGGAGGAGGCAGGACAGGGTGAATCCCCAGAGCCCCAGGAGGAGCTGCCTCATGTCCCCAAAGAGGAGCCTGCATCCCACCAGGAGCCAGGTAATGTGCCAGATGCAGGACAGGCCCCCATAACGTGACTGAGCGGCGTTGATCTTGGTGTCTGCCTGGTCGTTGAGCCTCTGGAGTGAGGAGCTTGAACCTCTCGTGGCTCCTGGGAGCCGTCTTGGTAGAGATGGGTTGGTGCAAGTCTTGGGGGAGAATGGATTTTCTCTGTGGCTTTTAGCTGGTTTCTGTTCACCTAATCCCCAGCCTTTGCCCTGACTCAGATTCCCCCGACACAGAGGAGACCTGGGATTCATCGGCCGATGAAAGCTCCACCAGCTGGTTCACCAAGCGAGACCCGTCCCTGGGAGCAGGTAAGGAGCAGCGGTTCTGCACTTCCCAGCAGCAAGAGGCACTGTCTCAGCTGAAAACTAGTTCCTGCTTGATGGAGATTAATGCTGCAACACGTTGGCTTGTCCTCTCATCTCGGCTCTGAAAAAAGCAGTCTTGCTGATCTGACCAGCCCTGGCGGCTGGGGTCTCGGACCCTCCGGGAAACATCCAAACGACCAAGATTATCCCACAGCTGCTTCCTCAGTGACATACAATAAGACCCCACTGCATTACTGTGCACTAATGCCGGTACACGGGTTTTGAGTGGCGTTTTGCAATAGCGTATTAGCATGGTTTTTGCCTGGCACGCTCTTGCGCAGTGTTATTAGGCTACTGCACAGTTAGCATCTTGTGTAGATGCGCCCACGGAGACTAAACACCATAGGAGTCCATCTGATTTGGGAGAATATCCCTGCATGCCGCAGGGTACTCTTGAGACATGATTTACCAGTTAATTGCATCAAAGAAAGGCATGGCAAAACAAGGAATAAGCCATCACATTTTTACAGTAAATGTGTAATAATTTTGTGTCTGGTTCCTATGCCTCATCAGACCCCATCACACCTTCCCTTACCTGTCTGCTTGGGCTATGGTGGACCCCAAAGGCAACTTGGTTTGGGGGTTCATCCATGACATGCCTAGAAGCCCTGATCACACTGCTGAGCCTATTGCTCTTAACTTTCCCCTTCCCTTAAATTGTGAACTTTGAATCAGCACTGTTGTCCCCTGTGTGTCTCGCGGGAGCAGTGTCCACACAGGCTCTGACATGCTGCTGTACTTATAGCTCTGAGCAGAGAAAGTCACTGGGGCTCATCTCCCCTGAATACAGACAACCAGGGGCGCGGGGACTGGAAGATCTGGTCTCGCTGTCGGTGCAGCCAGGACTCTCTGCCTCTGGGAGCGATGCCTTTGCTGCCTCCAAGGGGTACTCCTATATGAGCCCTTCTGGGTATCTCTCTGACACCCAGCCAGCACCAGGGAGCACAGGGCATGATAGAAGCCAAGTACTTTCAACAAGGAGGCGCTCCAAGTGTCCATATTTCTTTCCACCTTTGTCTCTGCAGACCACAGATTCTGGTTTCACCGTCTTTACTTTGAGACCTGGGCTCTGAGACTTTCCCTTTTCTTTCCTTGTTCTTCTAAAAATGTCTAGGTACACTGGGTACCCTTTGCAAGCATCAAGGCTGATCATAAGGAAATCTGGGACATTTGGGACACCTGGGAAACTGCCGCCCGTCGCACTCTCACAAGTTGGCAGGAACGGGGTGGCATTTAGGGCAGCCCAATAGGCCTGCGTGCCCACCTACAAGGCAGTCTGTGCCCCTGCGTTTCCAGGACGCCCGTTATAATTCACAACAGCCACGCGGGCGGGACTGGCCTCTGAAATCCAGGGCTGTCCCAGTTAAACCGGGACATATGGTCACCCTACTTATGACCCACAGTACAGATCATTGAGGTTGTGTTTTTCCAGTGACATCAGTCAATGTGACTGTCCTCCTGGCCTCATAACCTTGGGAGCGCCTGCCAGGCCGCGTGATCAAGAGGGTTTATTGATGCACCATAACCATCCATCTAGTATCTTGTATAGGGTTTTGGTTTTACCTTAAGCCCAGTAGCCACTCTTCCCCTCCATCTCCTCCTTCGTCAGGGCCTTCCACAGGTTGGGGATCTGACCCTGCTGTTTACCTCTATTTTTTGCTGTGTGCTTACCCATCTCTTGGTTTCCTCTGCACTGCTAGGTGTCATTTCAGCCCCATTTACAGTGGCAATGGATGCAAATGTTCCCTGAGAAATTCTCCTTTCAATGAAGTCTCAAAATACGTCTCTCAGGCATGCAAAAGTTGTTTCTGATCACATGCTGGTCCTCCTTGCCTGTCACTAATAGCATTGGGTATCTCGCTGGCACATCATTACCCAAGTCATTGAATTTATTTATGCATCGTGCATTGAAACCAGTTTAACGCTGTCCTCTCTGCTGCTTCTCTGGCTATTGCCCGTTATACAGCTCTTGTCATTAAATGACCTGTTCCAAATCTCTTTAATGCCACTTAGTGAAGTCTTCTTTCTTTTCTTCAATACCTTGCTGAGCCTCCATCCCACCCGCAGCCCCCTCCCCACCAGGTTTCTCACCTGGTTTTCCTTAAGAGAGTTGGTTTCAGAGTGTAAGTACAGCAGTTAAACCCACAATCCTCCAATTTTTCCCTGTGAGAACATCATGGGATACCAAATCAAAGGCCTTTTGGAGGTCTAGGTATACAATGTCGACCTCCTCTCTCTTATCCAGGTGGCGAGTTACCTGGTCCCGTAGCACTGCTCCGCCTGTTGTCACATACTCCATCAGCCTTCATTTTTCTTACATCCCCTTCCTATAAATGTTGAGTATTAACGACGGAAATATTTTTTTTGTCGGTCTGAGTGTAAAAATCAACGGTTATCACCGTTTACAGGTAAATATTGAATCCTGCCAAACCCAGGTTTATCCAAACATGTATCCATGTCAAGCTTTTTATTATTATAAGCAGACTCTTGGTTGACTTTCTCGGGCTTTCCGTTAGATACTTCCTTCCCTTTTTATGTAAAAAAAAATAAAATAAAATTACATCATCATTATAATCATATAAAAATAATAATATAATATTATCTTACTTGTCAGCAAGTATGACACTGTGTTAGGCTGCCTTGGTTTCAGTCTTTTGCTTTGGTTATATTTTTGTATCGAGTCATTGTGCCACGTGCTTGTATTAAATGGCCATCTCTTCTGGATGTGATTCTAAAATTGTTCTTTTTCCGGGGAACCGTGCCCCTCGATACCAAGTTATGGGCTTTTGTGTGCTGTAAAAACACGTCTCTTCCTCCCTCCCTTCTTTTGTGTGTATTCGTAACTCCCATAGACTCTCATACGCACCGCAGTATTTACTGACCAGCATTTACATTCACATCTGCTCCTGCAACGGTCCCTCCTTTTGGAGGAAAAGGTTGCTGTAGCTGCATATTTACAGTTCTTGCCCAATCGTCCTTTCCTGTGCCCTTTTGATAGGAACTTTCTTTCTTTTGATAGGAACTTTTTCTTCTTTGATAGGAGTCCTTTCTTTCCCATAAAATGTCATAGTCATCCATGATCCATCTGTCATTGACTCTTGACTTCCAACAATCCTCCTGGCAAACCCTCCCTGAGAATAAACCCATTGCCGTTTCTTTGCGGGAATTACCCCCAGCAAACCCAAGTTGGGCGCTGGAAGGAGAGGAACCCATCTTAACCACCCTGTTGTCTGCATCCGCAGAGTATCGAGGTCTCACCCCGGACTTAATCTGCCGCATCCAGCGAGGGGAGGCGGAGCTCTGGGTCTGTGAAGATGAGGACCGTGGAGAAAGCTCAGGGTCCGAGGGCCCGTCCGCAGGTGAGTCCTGGCACTCGCTCCCCCACCATCTCTCCGCTCGCGCAGAAATGCTCAATACCAAGAGCGATGGGGGAAGTGGAGCCCTGTCAACGTACCCTGAGCTCCTGCCACAAGGTGCTGACTTCATTCACTCAGTGGCGTTCAACCTTTTGGCCCTGCGGTTGCAAAGTAAGCATGACATCAGTATCTAGGAGGTACTAAATGACTCCCTGGGATGGGTGGGGTTCAACCACTTCCAAGGTCTGGAGGATATCAACACCTCGTGGTTTGCACGGGAGTTTCCTTCTTTCTGGTCCTAAGTGTCGCTACCCCTAGGACCCCTGCTCACACCATGGAGTCGTATGACCCAGAAGTGCTGTGGCATAGACCGGCAGGTCCAGCATGTGGCTTCGTGTCATTTGGCCCATAGGGCTCCCCACAGCTCTGGAAATTTGGTGCTGGGAGCGATGGCACCACTCCCCTATTGCCAAATTTCTGGACATGGGGAGACTTAGACGATGAATGCTGGATCAGGCACCTGATCCTGGGAGGGGGTGGCGCTGGGCTCCACAGCCTCATCCTGGTGTAGGGGCTGGGAGGGGAAAAAACCAGGCCCTCAGGGATCAATCCCAGTGGGAAGAAGCAGTGCCAGGCCCCCAGGGACCAATTCCCATGGCATGTGGGGCTCTATCTAGCCTGTGGACCCACTCCGCCAGCCTTCGGTATAGACCAGTCCTTAGCAATCCTCTTTCTTTCAAGCCACTAGTTTCAGCCCTTAGAGCAGGGGTGTCAAACTCATCTGGCTCTGTGAGCTGGGTGAGCATAGCTGGGTCTGTCTGTGTGCTCCATCTGGGCCCTTGTGTCCTGAGAAGGGTTTACCAAATACTAAATGGGGAAATGAAAGTCAATAAGGATTCATTATGGACTGTCAGTAGACAAAAACCAGCATGCAACTAGCAGGTAGTAAGTTTAAAAGTAACACATATTAGTTCTTTTTCACCCAGCGTGGAATTAAAACGTGGGGCTCGTTGCCACCACACATGGTGGAAGCTGAGAGTTTGGCCAGATTCACCAAGGGATTGGACGTGTCCTTGGAGGAAAGGGGCATCAGTACCTATTGAGCATGGGGCTTAGGGATATAGCCTGTGAATCACAACTTCCTAGACTTGAAGGCTGCAAGTCAGAGAGGATCGGTGGAGAAAACCCTGCTCAGGCCCAATTCTCCCTCCCTTTCGGCATCTACTTTCATGCCACGCTGTGACACAGGAGCTGGGCAAGATGGACCCACAGCCTGCCCCGGTCAGTGGCAATTCTTATCTAGCACCCCATGCCTAGCTCCCATGGTGCATGCCGTGTGCACTGACCCAAAGTCCTGGAGTTTAGGCCTCTTTTTATTCCTTTTAAGAAAACACAAGAGCTAAAGCCCAGCCCTGCTCTGGGGATCATCCCAGCCCAGAGGGAATAGCCATGTTGGCCTCTGCCGGTAGGACAGGGACTGATTTTCAGGTTGTCTTCCCTACCCAGCAGGTGCGTGGACGCTGATTCGAGCTGCGGAGCAGCCTCCTGAGGAGGTGCCAGCCAACCTGGAGCTGCCGCGGACATTTCCAGGGAGACTGGGGGAGAAGGGTCCTCTGAGACCTGAGCCGGGCCGGCTGCAAAAGAGGCTGCATGGACCGCAGAAGCAGAAGAAGAACGTGACCGCAGGCGGGAGGGAGAGCGAAACCAGGGCAGAGCCCAAGAGGAGCCAGGGGTGCAGGGAGGAGCTGCGGGACGTGAAGAGAGGCAAGACAAAGCTTCACCAAAGAGTGAGGCGGCCTCCAAACCGGCCCACACGGGAACAGGAGCTGGCTGCCAAGCGCCAGGAGAAAGCCCACCCCTGCCCGGAGTGTGGGAAGGTCTTTGAGTTCCCGTCTCACCTGGCCTTGCACAAGAGGGTGCACACTGGGGAGAAGCCCCACCAGTGCCCCGAGTGTGGGAAAAGCTTCAACCACCCCTACCACCTGGCTCAGCACCGGCGCATCCACTCGGGGGACATGCCCTACCGGTGCGCTCAGTGCGGAAAGGGCTTCATCTGCCCCTCCTACCTGACCCGGCATCAGCGTGTCCATGCCCAGGAGGACGTGTGACGCTGCTGCCAGCGTGGGAAGGCTTTGGGGGCTGCTCCAGCCAGGAAGAGCTCAACCCCCACATTGTCCCTCGCCAGCCACTGCAGGAAGAAAGGGAGCTCCCCCTTCCTCTGGCATGCTGCGGGAAGCTAGTGTAAGCGTGACTGCTCCCATCGCCCCTCCGACAAGGGGAGTGAGGTCAGGATCCAGCCCAGGATCAGACCCCAGCGAGGCAGAGCTGTGGTGAGCAGGGAGGCTCTTAGGGAGGGGTCAGCACTGATGCTGAGACCCCCCCCCCCGGCCGGCACATGGGCCCGAGTCGCTGCACCCCCCCCCCCCCCGTCCGCACATTGACGCTGAGGCCCACCCCTACCTCACCCAACACCCAGAGCATCCCTAGTGAGCCCATGTCACTCTTCCTCCCCGCTGGATGGATGCCTAGCGAGTGTCTGGCCCCTCCTGGCTCCATCATCTGCGGTTGGACCAGAGGAACGGGTCCGTCTCACTCCCAGGTCCCGGGCTGCGAGGCTCTCGGTGTGCAGCACTAGTGGGATTGATGCTGGGGGAAGCCTTCCTTGCTGTCCACCTTGAAGCCCCTGCCTGCCACATTTCTTTACCTGCCCATCACCCTTGAAGCTCCTGCCAGGGGGTGTTTGCCAGCTTCTACCCTGTCAGACCCTCGGGGTGCAGTTCAGCTGGTTTTGCTCCTGCGGATCTGCCCCCCCACCCAAGCCCTTTGTGCTCCCAGCATCCCATTCTGCATCATCGGTACTCTCATAACAGGGGACCCCTCGGCAGGCGCAAGGGATTTCCCAGCCCCTTCCCTACTCCCTCCCCTAGGACGGCTGAGTTGCAGGGGCAGTTCAGGAGAATGAGGAGTATGAGCTGGGCAAGGACCAAATCCTTTTGGGGGCAACCTCAGGCAGCGGACCCCTAAGTGCTGCTGCCGGGGTACGAGTGGAGGTGTCAGGGGCACAAGTGACACTGCCTGGAAGGGGTGCCGGCATGCCAGCAGCCTCTAGCCGACTCAGAGCATGTTGGGATCTCCTGCAGCGAGCCGCGAGATCTCTCTCAGCTCTTGCCTCCAGGATTTGCCCATCGCGGCTCATTGCAGAGTAGAATCGTGCATCGCAGCAGGGTCTTCCTTTTCCTGCTGTCACATATTTTCCTCCTGCTTGTACTGCTGGACAATGCACACAGGGGCACCCGATTCTCTGCCCGTGCCCGGCGTTGACTCCCAGTTCTTTGCTGCCTTTCTTGTCACTGTCTTTGACTAGTGTAACTCTAGCTGAATAGATGCCCCAGCTGAAGGCAGTGTCCGAGGGGAAGAACGTGGCATGGATTCATCAAATGGATGACGGACGTTATTCCCAAGAGACTCTGGAGGTGGCTCAGGGGACTCGGTTTTGTTTCTCACCCTCTCAGAGGCTGTTGTAAATCGTTGCAGCAGGGACAGCAGCCACCAGAACAACACGGTATGTGCTGGAAAGACATTTATTTAATTTTTTTTTTTTTTAAATCACGGGTGTTTTCTACGTTTCCTGTGCACAATACAGTTCTCCACACCCCGACTGTGGCTCCCTCGTCGTCTTGCCTGTGAGCCCGTGTCGTAGCTCTGCGCAGCGTCCTGATCACCCAGCTCTGCCTCCCACCACCTGGATCTCCCGAGGATTGATCCTTTCCCCACACTCACCACCGCCTCCTTTGTATCCTGCCCCTGCTTGCATCGCGGGGCAGAAACCTGGGGTGCTTCCTCAGCACTGGCTTTCCTCCTTTTTCCCGTGTGTGTCCCTTCACCCTTGCCCAGCTCACTCCTCTCCTTCCCATCCCCTGCAGACCCCGACACCTGTGGTGCATTTGGCCAGCCCTGGGTGTTCAGCCTTTGCCGATTTGCCCATCTAGCACCCCTGGGACCTCCCTAAGCGATTCCCCAGGCTATGCTGCCTCCAAAGCAGTTGCACAGAGCATTGGCCCAAATGGCATCCCTGCAAAATAATAAATACTCGACACTTGCCCAAAGTGTCTTCCGCAGCCTCCTAACCCGCCGCCTGTGCCTCGTGGCAAGACTCCTACCAGCCAGTGGTCTGCCTTGCAAAAAAGCTGAGTTAAAATCAACTCCAATCCCTTTGTGGTGCCTTTTTTCCAAGCCTTCCCTTCTACCCTGCTGCCTGCCCCAGCTCCAGCCCCCCTGGGCTTGCTCACAGCTCTCTTAAGGGAGCTCCTCTGGCAGGCACTGAGGACCAGAGCGCTCTTGGCTTCCCTGAAGCTGGGTTTATATAGCTCCAGGGCCTGCCCCTTTTGGCCATAACAGTCCTGGTTTCACAGGGGTCTCTCCTTATCCTTCCTTTTTTTCCCATAATGGGGCTGGAAGCCTGCAATTACACCACTGTCATAAGCATGAGTGCCACATGGTCCATCTCTCCCAGTATTCACTGGTTTGCAGTGGCAGATCCTTTACAGGGAGGAGGTTTGAATGGGGCATGTCTAGAGTGATCCATCACTGCCCATACCCTCCCTAGCATCCGCCAGCATTAGTGTAGGGATGTCTGCTTTGACAGCCTCCTGCAGCAACAAGGGCATGTCTACACATGACGCTCTAATGATTCAAAACTCGTGGAAGAGGGGATATCTTTTATTAGACGAACTAGATATTTGCAAGCAAATTATTGTATTTATCTGCAAGCTTTCAGGCGCACACACCCTTCGTTAGAGTGCAATTCAGCAGAGATTGTAAAACTTCTCCTAAGTAGAAAAGTCATATTTAATTAAATAAAACAAAAGATATCGCCTCTTCCACGAGTTTTGATTCCTTTTGCCTGTGGACCAATACAGCTACAACCTGGACAGCTGACACTTCAGTGTGCATTGACCAGAGTTAATGCAGTAATGGGGTGCACGTCTACGCGTGTGAATCCTTAATGCACATTAAAAATGGCGAATTTAGGCTATTTGTGCCTAAATTTGATGCCTTCAAATGCAAGTATCAAATTTAGGCACGAATAAAAGTGCATTAATATGTGTATATGCATTAAAGTGCATTTTTATTGCTGTGTGCGCGGACTGACCTGGGACTAACTTTAGTCCCAGATCAGTCCACACACAGCGTTAACATGCTTTAACACCTGTACATGTAGATGCCCTCCTAAACCCGCTTAGTGCACATTAAGCTAATGCACATTAAATTTAGTTTCATAGTTTCATAGTTTTAGGGTCGGAAGGGACCTAATAGATCTTCTAGCCCGACCCCCAGCATTTAAATATATGTGTAGACACCACCATAGGACCATACAACTAGCAGGTGCCTTGTGGATCATTGCATCCAGCCTGCTGCTGTTACGGGCATCCAGGCTTATAGTTTCATTCATCAACCCATCAAGCTTCCTTTCCAGCCTGTACGATCTCACCTCACCCTGTCTCCTGCTCCTGGGAGGCTGTTTCAGAAGGGCTTTCCATGGCTTAGCTTTCACCCAAAAGTCACTTATTGCCAATATTTAATCACTTGTTCTCGAGCTAACCCCCTCCCTGAGCTTTGAAATCTTTCCCTTCCTGCTGTATTTATGGAGAGCAATCGCACCAGCTCATAGCCTTCACTTTGTTGGCCTACACCAGCCGGGACTCCCTTAGTCTCCATTTCCCTGATCATTTCCTAACCCCTCCATGTGCCTATGACAGCTTGAATTAACCTTCCCTGAACAGAGTCAATGCTCACAAGTTGGGAAATGCCCATGCCTCCTCTTTCCCCGTATTGCAGTTTTTTTCTTTAAAAAAAAAAATAAACTTTTACCATTTTTAAGCAACCCTCCTGATTGTCTGGGGGGAGGCCTGGTTGGAGGTGGCCAGAGGAGGACGGAGACGAAGGGGACTTGGTGTTGCATGTCTTGAAGATGCCTGTTGCCCATTGGGTTTCCAAGGGGCTGAGAAGCCTCGTGAGCCGTGGGCACGGGTGAGAGGGGTGTATGTTAGACTCAAATCCCAATCAGCCTTTACCGAGGGGAGCTTGGTGGCAGACCAGTGAAGGTCACCTGCTGGGACCCCAAAGGCATGAATTTGAAGCCAAGCTGCCCTTGGTTGGGGAGGCTGGCCATATCCCTCCTTTGATTGCTGTTGGCTGTAGCAACTGATAGGCCTAAACCATGCTGCACACCAGGCCTTGTTGGCTTTTGCAGACTTTTGACTGCACTCAGGGATCCTACTCACCCTCTCTAGACCCAGGGCTTTTGCCAAGTGGAGGTCAGGGGGGGACCCCTCTACAACCTGGGATGACAAGTGAAGACCGGAACAACAAGAACTAAGGGTTAGATCCGATTCCACCTGGGAGAGGCCTGAAGGGATTTAGGTGCATAAATGCGATCCAAATATTTGCTTGCTCCCCTAGCAAATGGCTGATCCCAGAAGGTGCCTGCCTTGTTCTTCAACTCGCTGCCTTTTTTGTCTCCAGGCTCTTCATAGCACCTCCCGCTGCTTCAGGTATAGCCTCATGCTTGGCCAGTAGACACATGCCCGTGCTCTTTGCAGATGTGCCTGTTTCCAGGTGTGGCTTAGACTAAGCAGACTACAAAAGCAGGCTAATAAAGGGTCATTGTTTTCCAGCCTAGCTCTCTGTCCCACACAAGGCAGCCTGGCCCTGAGAGAGGAGTCTTGGGGAGCTGAGCCAAACCTAGCTGAGATGCCCATTGAGTGCAGCAGGGATTAAATGAAGGGATGGCCCTAATTAGACTTTTGGCATCCCCCTACTTGTCTAGGAAAGAGAGAGCATGTTTTGGAAGACAAATGTTCGCAGGTCAGGGGTTCCTCACCCTGCTTCATGTGGGGGGTGGTTTCCCCCACTACCGGGCTGTTTCCTTCCCCCTCCAGATGTTACCTGGGGCTTGGGAAGGACCATGCTTCCCTTGGAGGAAGGGAGTGGGCTGGAAAATGATTCCCATCCTAAGGATGTGAAATTCTTCTGGCTGCAAAGGGACCAGGGAAGTGAGGGGAAGGGGTTTCCTATCAAATATCCTTGGAGGAAGTGGGGGAAAATAGTCCATCCAGGCTCTCCTGATAACATCAAGACCTACCTGCCGGCCAGTGACACATATAGCCAAAGGGGAGAGGATGGAAGGGGCTCGCTGTTTAGGTTTGATGTTGAGAAGCAAGGTCCTTCTCCATTTCTCTTCAACACGGAGGAAATTATTTTCCACCCATCCTTACTGCCCTGCTGGCGAATCATCCTTGTGAGAAAGGATCCTGATAGGGTGCAAGATGACCCAACCAGCCCTCCACCCACAGCTATCAACTCAGCCC